AAGAGAGCAACCAAACCTATGAACAAATCCACCAATGATAACAAGCGCTAAAAACTATACTGAAAACAAAAAAAACAAAAAACGGACAGAACCCAGGACAAATGGTAAAAGCAAAGCTATACAGACAAAATCACAGAAAGAAGCATACCCATAGATACTCACAAAAAGAGAAAAAGGCAAAGGGCAACTAAATCAATAAACAAATCTACCACTGATAATAAGCTCTAAATACTAAACGTAGATAAAGATAAAACCAAAAACAAAGCAGATGCAGAAAGCAAACCCCAAGTCTACAGTTGCTCCCAAGGTCCACTGCCTCAATTTTGGGATGATTCCTTGTCTATTCAGGTATTCCAGACATGCAAGCTACATCAAGTTGATTGTGGAGGTTTAATCCGCTGCTTCTGAGGCTGGTGGGAGAAATTTCCCTTTCTCTTCTTTGTTTGCACAGCTCCTGGGGTTCAGCTTTGGATTTGGCCCAGCCTCTGCATGTAGGGTGCCTGAGGGCATCTGTTCCCTGCCTTTTGGGTCTGAGGTCTTCTGCCAGCGTTCAGTAGGTGTTCTGTAGGAGTTGTTCCACATGTGGATGTATTTTTGGGGAGGAAGGTGATCTCCACGTCTTATTCTTTCACCATCTTGAAGGTACCCCAGCAACAAAGCTTTTAAAGAGACAATATAAAGAACCTGGAGAGGAGGATAAGAGAGAGGGAGTAGCCCAGATGACCTCTGGGTTTCTGCCTTAGGCTAGAGGTGTCAGTGCCTGAGGTAAGAAACAGATGGAAGAAAGGCAGGTTGGTGGAAGAAGGTTTCCACTTTGGGTATGCTGTGTGAAGTGTCTATTGCCTATTAAATTGAATATTAACTCTTTGCTTGACTTTCAGCACTTTTTGTATTTAAGCTACCACCTACTTCCTAGACTGATTTGTGAACCAATTTCCTGTTTTTACCCCGTAGTCTGCCAAACTTGACTGTCTGCTACTCTCAGACAAAAATAATTTCCATCTCTTCCCCTTTGTACATGGTCCCCTTCACCTGGCTCGCCTTCCCCTCTATCTGTCATGCCAGAAAACCATCTGTCTTTAATGGCTCTTTTTGGAAGCCCTACTTAATCCTTGTGAATGTTTATCATCTCTTCAGCACTTCTTTTTACTTATAAGTTTAAGCAGTTATTCTGCCTTTTATATTGCAGCTAGTTGTGTACCCTTCATATCGCCATACTGAAGCTTCTTTATCTTTATTTTCTAAATGGCTAGGATATTGTTTTGAACATAATATGTGCTCAATAAATGTTTTTTGGCTTAAAAGGAAATAAAAGAAAATTGTGTTTGGTTTGGGGGGAGTGCTGAATGTTAATCGAAGGATATGTATTTTCTGGGTTCTTAACATTTCAGTCTTTCCCAGTACTTTCGTTAACACAGTGAAAGTTGCTTTTGTAGGAAATAAAGTTGAAATTATCAATGACTTGAAGAAGGGTCTTTTGGACAACTTAATTTTCGGTATGTTTGGAGCAACTAGGGAAGCACACATGAATTAGGAAAGATTAGAAAACCCTTTTATTTTTTGTTACTCTAAATTTCAATATATAAATATTACATACCCTTAAAATACACCTGGTTTTATAGAATTGTACATGTGCAGAATGAATAAAGTAGGGAATTTCTTCTTTTTATATTACTCAAAGCCTCTAATTTAGGACTACTTCAGTAGGGAGCTCATTCTGTATCTATGATGAAGCCTAATACAGATTTATAGACTGAAGAAAAGTGAATAAACCCAAGTTCTTTAAGAGATGCACACCTGAAGTCAAAGATTATCCATATTAGAGGGACCCCCTAAGGTCTGATAAAGAGGGAAAGGGATCAGTTGTGCACAGTGATAAAAGAAAGGCTAGCAAGATGTGGGCTTGGAGCCTATATTAGAATAATCTTTGCTGTAAATTCCAACTAAAATTTTTGTATTTGTAAAAATATAACTGATTTTGTATTGAAAAAAGAAATGTGAATTACTTTACAAAATAACTTCAGGGCTAATTTTACTGTTTGCTGGTATTCCTTGAAGAGATGGGAGACTTTTTCAAATAACATATGCACCCTCCAACCCTTGGTGAGAATTATCTACTTTCAGGAGTCACAATCACCTATGGGAGTCAGTTAGATCCCTGTAGGTGATTTGGGGTTAAAAAAAGTTTTAGCTTTCTTTTTTTCCCCTCCAGGCTTACCAAGCCATATTTACTTTCTGAAATAAAATGAATCATTGAAAGCATCATGACTTTAGTTTAATCAATATTAAATAACTATTGTATGTTGGGGTATTTAAAAAGAAGACAGCTTAAACTTGAACAAGTTGCAATTGCATTTTTTTTTGATGGAAGCACAATGTTCTTATACAATGTTCTTTTCACATTTCTTACTTCTCTGGCATTTATTATAAGGAACGAAGCATTTCTGGAATGCTCATTTTAATTTCAAAGCTCAGGCTATTCTATGGAAAACATTTGGTGCTTGGAGGATCTAAAGAACAATAGAGGAATGTTCAGTGGGAAGCGTCATGAATTGTGGCACTTAAAATAAATTCTGAAGGAAGATTTTAGACAATGATACTTATTGTTCGTTTTAGACAAAGGTTTTAAACAAGGTGCTATAATTTGTCTTTATCTGGGCAAGTATCTTTTAACTCTTGATATATAAATTAGATTGATAATAGCGAGATATTCGTCTTTTGGAATATGTGAAAACCCATGTAATAAATCAGACTTATTATCATCTTTACATAATGCATGATAAAGACACATGGCCCTACTTGACTGCTGGTAAAGCACATAGAATGTGCTTTGTTAATTGACTTCATCACATTTAACACAGGGGACCCTAAGAGCAAGATATGGGTAGACCCAGAGAGAACATCTTTGACAAGGTTTCCATGGGGAATGGACTAGAAAACACACATTAAATGGCATCCAAATTTTGTGTCATGTTATGCATCTTAAAAAACACTTTATATTATTTAAACTTCATATAATCTTATAGGATAATATGGTTATTCTCATTTTCCAAGAAAGGAAATAAAAGCTTGCTACAAGGAACTCCAGTCTGGGTTGTGAATATGGGAATAAAGCAAATTAGAATAAAGAAGAGGGTCTTTTGGACAGGGGAAGGGAATAGCAGAGCAGACAAAAACAATTTTCATCCACATATTTCCCCCATAGCTTGTAAGTTCTTTCTCAGTTCCTGGCTAAGAACTGGGTCCAGATAACCAAATAAACAAATACTTAATGCTCCATTAATAATAAACAAGCAAAATCTCCAGGGACTGCAGAGCAGGAAGGATTATGTATAGTCTGTTGTCAAAGATGTGATGCATATTTGTTAAAAGCCTAGGCTATTTGATGACATGCACCAGCCTAGCTTTCAATAAGAGTTTCAGGTCTTCTATTTTAAATACTGGATAAAAGTTTTTTTTTCTTTCTTCCTCTGCAATGGGGATCTTCCAGGTTTGCTTATGAAAATGTAAACCAAATTGTTTTCTTGGAATTCAAGGTTTAATTAAGAAATGGATATTTTTCACAATGTAATTTTGTATAAGGTTTTGTTTCCAAATATAAGTGCTTAATTTCTATCTCCAAACAATGCTCTTATCATGAGATTATTCTTTTAATTTTTTAAATAAAATTTTATTTATTTATTTATGTCTGTGTTGGGTCTTCATTGCTGTGAGTGGGCTTTCTCTAGTCATGGCAAGTGGGGGCTACTCTTCGTTGCGGTGCACGGGCTTCTCATTGCAGTGGCTTCTCTTGTTGCGGAGCACGGGCTTTACGCGTGTGGGCTTCAGTAATTGTGGCACGCAGACTCAGTAGTTTTGGCCCGTGGGCTCTAGAGTGCAGGTTCAGTAGTTGTGGCACACAGGCTTAGGTGCTCCGTGGCATGTGGGATCTTTCCAGACCAGGGCTTGAACCCATGTCCCCTGCATTGGCAGGCGGATTCTTAATGACTGTACCACCAGGGAAGTCCCATGAGTTTATTCTTATTTTAAACAAATTTACAGAAGTAATACATGCTCATTATTAACATATTCAGGCAATTCAAAATACAGACATCAAAACGTCCCTCTGTTCAACTACCCCATTCATTAAGCCATTAATATAAGAAATATTTATTGAACAACTACTTTGTGATTGTTAGAGTGAGGGAGAACAAACCACATTTCCTGTTTTCATGGAGTTTACATTTTAGTATTAGAAGGATGCCATAAACATACATGAACAAATAAAAAATGTCAGGCTCTATAAATGTTCTGAAGAATTATAACATGTAGTGAGGGGACAGAGTGGGAGAGGGTGGGGATTGGGGCGGTCAGGGAAGCCCTCTTGATAGGGCACTTTGAGGAGGACCTGATTGCTTGAGAGGCCAACTGATTTGGGGGGAGTGTGGGAGACAGGTAAAAGAGTTTACAGAGGGCCAGAATGTAGATCATAGTAAGGATTTGGGTTTTGTCCTTCTGAAGTAACCACTGTTTTACACGTTTCAGAGTGGTTCTGCACCCCCCGCTCCAACATTAGTAATCTCTATTCTTAACCTACATATGTTAATACTTATTGACTTAATTATTATTATTTTTGCCTCCCTCTTAATATAGATTGCTGGCTACAAAGTGATATAAATAATCATTTGCTATATGTATATCAAATAATATATATTGAGTATTGTGTATTTTGCATTGGTCCAATAGTAAAACTTGGTGAGATTCAATCTCTATCCCCCCTTCCTTCCTCCCCTCCTCACTCCCCCCGTCCCTCCCTTCCTTCCTGTCTTTAGTTAGGAACTCTGTGGTCGCTGGTAATACTGCTCTTGGTGCCTTGACCTGACTTTTGGGAATGCACCAGTAGTGTTGGGAATGAATCATGTTATTAAGAAATACTTCCTTTTGTTCTGGGCTATGATATCCCAGGGCTGTGTTCCTGTCACAATTTGTCTAATGAGTGACTTGTATTTTTCCAATTTTAGGTTACTACACTTGTAAATTGTCCCCAGAATCCTTCCAACAGGAAAAAAGGACGTTCTAAAAGAGCCAGAGTCCTTCTAGCTTCTGTGGAGGAAGCAACTTGGAATTTATTAGACAAGGGAGAGAAGATTGCTCAAGAAGCCACAGTTTTAAAGGAAGAGCTTACTGGGGCACTTGAGGATGTTCGCAAAGAAAGTGAGTACTCTGGTCCTCTGCTCAGGAGCAAACCACTCTTGATGTTAGTTACCGAATTAGATTTGAGTGTTGTGTTCTAGTTGACTTGAGTTTAGTTAGTCTTTTGTAGAGCTCTGAGGAGCTAGCTGTTGGAGGCAGAGTGGCTCTTTAGGCAGCTCCAAAACTCAGACCCCCCTCCTGGTTCTTCCTTTAGTTGTTCAGTTCCCCTCATGCCATAGTTTATCCATAATAAACAAAGAGAAATGTACAATTTTTGTCATAAAATGAGAAGTAACTAATGAGGCTGAAGACATACTTTCCCATACATAAACAAATTATAAAGTTCATTGTAAACAGTTGGAGATGGAAGTTTCAGACCTGGCCACCTCAGAGGTACATTTTTTATTTTTTCATTATTCTGGAGGTTTAGATTTCCTAAACATAAAAATTGTTTTGCATAAACTATGTATAACTCATGTTGCTGCTATGTTAGCATTACATAATAAGGGGAAATGTAGTGGGGAGGGATAAATCAGGAGCTTGGGATGAACATACACACACTACTATGTATAAGATAGATAACCAACAAAGACCTACTATATAGCATAGGGAACTCTACTCAATATTCTGTGATAACCTATATAAGAAAAGAATCTAAAAAAGAATGAATATATGCATATGTGTAACTGAATCACTTTGCTGTTCACCTGAAACTAACACAACATTGTAAATCAACTACACTCAAAAAAAAAAACCACACACACAAAAATATTACATAATAAAAGTGTATATTTCACCTTTTGATATCTTGAACAGTTTTATTATAATGAATGTCTCATTTGAAGGCTATTTTATAAAGAACTGCACAATATTCTTTAGTTAATGGAATGATTTTATACATCAGCTTGCTGCTAGGAACTATTTTGAGAGGATAAGGAAGCAAATTTTCCTGTTCAGCTTTGTAAAAGAGACTGCGAGGTGTTCAAAATTTTCCTCTCCCCATCTCAAACATAACTTTAAGAAAATCAGGAAATTTTTGCTAATTAACTAATTAAAATGAATATACTAGCCACAATAAACTTTACGTCAAATACAGGGGAGTTTTTTGCTATAGTTATATATGATTTATATATTAAAGGGATTCTTTGGACAATATATAGAAAACAATAATGCCTAAGATATTTTGAAATAAATTCTTCATTCCTCCCTGCTCCCTACCACCTCAGACGCACTCTTTCTCCTATCTTCTCTGCTTTGGTACCACCATCCACTTAGTTACAAAGTCAGTTAGACTCTTCATTTTTATTCTACCCTCTTTTCCAATTAGCCTCCAAGTTCAACAAATTCTATCTCCTTTTGTTTCTCAGATCTGTTCTCTCATCTCCATTCCTAACGTTGCCTTCTGAATTCTGGATTACTGCCTTAGCCTTGTCCTATACCAAAGCCAAACATGTTTTTTAAAAGTGAAAATATACTCATTTTACTTCCCTGCTTAAAATCATTTTAGTAACCTTTGAAGGATTAGGGGACTGTCTTTCTGGATAAAGTTCAAACTTTTAAACCACAACATTCCATGATTTGGCTTCTACTATCCTCTCCCTTCTCATTTCCTGATTCTGTTCCCCTCTCAAACTTTCTTCCAAGTAAGGACTCATGGCGTCTTGAATGGTACATATTGATTTATGCTTCTGTGCCTGTTACCAGCGATTCCCTTCACCTGGATTGCCCTTTTCACTCAGCCAATTCTTACGTAGCAAAACTCAGCCCAGGTCATCTTTCACAGGAAGTGTTTACTGACACCTTGATGCTGATATAGATGCCCTTCTTCTGTGTCCTGACAGACTAGGCATCCCTCTTTCATAGCACTTACCACCCCACACACCAGACATTGATTATTTGTTCAATAAATGTAGACTCAATTTCTTGCATTTTTTTTTGGCCACACCACGTGGCATGTGGGATCTTTGTTCCCCGAATAGGGATTGAACCCATGCTCCCTGCAGTGGAAGTGCAGAGTCTTAACCACTGGCCGGCCAGGGAAGTCCCTAGACTCAGTTTCTTCAAGGTGGCAAGCACCAAGTCTATTTGATTAGCAATGCCTGACATATACCAGACACCTGATAAATGTTTATTAAATAAAAAAGGAATCTAAGCATCATTTTATAATTTTATATTATAAACATTTATAATAGTTTTATCTTTGCTTTTATGAAAAATTATCTCTCATGGTTCTTTCCTAAGTCTTTGGAAGGAATATGAACCCTATTTGGTACTGCTTCTCTCAGAAAATGTGATCTATTTGACAATATAGTTTCCACAAGCCACGTGGCAATAAATTTGTAAGCCATTGGTCTTTCTTAGAAGGGAACAATAATTGTAATAATTGTCAAGAAATGGTATTTGCTTGTTTTTAAAAAAAGTAATCAACACTTTTAGCTCAATAAAAGTAAATTATTTTAAGGAAAAGTTCTCAAAGAGAAGTCTTTGGATTCTAGGATTATGCAGTGTGTCCTTCACTATGTTCTGTTATAATGTGTGAAATACATATATATGGCATATGCTGTATACACAACAAATACATTTGGTTAAAGATCACCAAGTGCTTTATACTCTGAATCTTTTTGACAAGCTGCCAAATTGAACTACTGCCACTAGAGTGTAGGAAGAAAGCAGTGAAATGGCAAGTGGTTCTGGAATTTGGGGAATGGCCAATGCTTATCCTATGGTTAGCAGAGATGGTGACAGTAAGAGCACTGTTCTCTAAAACTTGGAAGGAATTTTAGCTCAGTGGTGGAGTTGAAGTATCAGGAGAATGAGTTCTGATCCAAGCAATTCTGTATGATGCTGGAAACATAGTTTAAAATTTTCCTGCTTTCATTCTTTTTTTTCCTTTTTTTTAAGGGCTTTGTCTAGTGGTATAATGTGAAGGACTAGTAAAGAGCAAATGATAAGTTTAATGCATTTGAAAAAGTGAAAAATATTGGAAGTAGAGGATATTTTTATCTATATATATATTGACTTATTTTCAAGAAGAAGAATTTTGAGAGTAATTTAGAATTTTTTTTCTAATAAAAATATAGTGTAATTTGTATAGCCTTATTATAGGATTCTCTTTTATTCTGTTTTACTGCCTTTACTGGCTTTAGAGAGTCAAAGTGATAAATAAAATGGGCATTTGGTTACCTAAAGAATATGCTTGTAGAAGATAGGTATGGATAGTATTGCGGGGTGGCGGGGGGGAATGGTGAAAGGAAAGGTGAAACTGTCAAGATCCAGAAAACGTCCACGTAGTGATTATATATGGTCACTCATGGTCTTATACAATGGTTAAGTATTAAATCTGGTATTTATTTAAATAGTTTTAGCATATTCACAATACAGTTATCTAGGAATTAGCTAAGAATTGTTTATAATGTCTAGAGTATATATTTTGCCTATAGCATATTTACTACCTTTGTGTAGCCTCTGCTCCCCTACAGCAGACATTGCTTCTAAGTCACACAATTGCTTATACAATATGTATAGTTTTTTAGTGGTTTATTGAGAATGACATATATACAAAAAGTGCATATATTATCATGAACAATTCAATACATTTTCATTGTGAATACACTAATGTAACCTCCACCTAGATCAAGAAATAGAACATTACTAGAACCCTAGAAGCAACCCCTGTGCCACTTACTACTCCCTCACCTCACAAGTACCATTATCCTGGTTATTACATAAGTTAGTTTTTTTCCCTTCTTTTTGAACTTTATGTAAGTGGGATCATACAGTATGTAGTCTCTTGAGCCTGGCTTCTTTTGCTCAATGTGTCTTACCATATAGTAGTTCATTTGTTTTCATTGATGAATAGTTCATAATTATTTATCCACTCTACTGTTGATGGATATTTGAGTTGGTTCCAGTTTTTGGCTCTAATATACATTGCTATTATGTATGCATTACTCTCGGTGCATGAATGTAGACATTCCTGTTGGGTTTATACCTAGGAGAGAAATTCTGGGTCATAAGGTATACACTCAGCTTTAATAGATGGTACCAAGCAATTTTCCAGAGTGGATTTTCCAATTGACACCCTCATCAGTAAAGGTATAAGAATTCCAGTGGTTCTATATTCTTGCTCACTTGGTGTTAACAAGTGTCAGTGTTTTAATTTAAAGTGTGTGTGGTGGTATCCCATTATAGTTTTTTTTCTTTATTTTATTTTTAAATTGAAGTATAGTTGATTTGCAGTGTTGTGTTAGTTTCTGGTGTACAGCACAGTGATTCAGTTATACATATATATTCTTTTCATATTCTTTTCCATTATGGTTTATTACAGGATATGAATATAGTTCCCTGTGCTATATAGTAGGAGCTTGTTGTTTATCTATTTTAGATATAGTAGTTTGTATCTGCTAATCCCAAAATCCTAATTTATCCCTCCCCCACCCTCTTTCCCCTTTGGTAACCATAAGTTTGTTTTCTGTATCTGTGAGTCTGTTTCTGTTTTGTAAATAAGTTCATTTGTATCATATTTTACATTCCCTATATAAGTGATATCATATGGTATTTGTCTTTCTCTTTCTGACATGTCACTTAGTATGATAATCTCTAGGTCCATCTATGTTGCTGCAAATGGCATTATTTCATTCTTTTTTTATGGCTGCCATTGTATATACATACTACCTCTTCTTTATTCATTCACCTGTTGATGGACAGTTAGGTTGTTTTCATGTCTTGCCTATTGTAAATAGTGCTGCTATGAACATTGGGGTGCATGTATCTTTTTTAAAAAAAACATTTATTTATTTATTTATTTGGCTGCGCCGGGTCTTTATTGTGGCATGTGGGATCTTTTAGTTGTGGCATGCAGGATCTAGTTCCCTGACTAGGGATCGAACCCAGTCCCCCTACATTGGGAAAGCTGAGTCTTAGCCACTGGACCACCAGAAAGTACCAGGGGTGCATGTATCTTTTTGAATTAGAGCTTTTTCTGGTTGTATGCCCAGGAGTGGGATTGCTGGATCACCTGG